TGGGCAGGGGTACTGGGCAGCGGTACTGGACAGCGGTACTGGGCAGGGATACTGGGCAGCGGTACTGGGCAGCGGTACTGGGAAGGGGTACTGGGCAGGGGTACTGGGCAGGGATACTGGGCAGGGATACTGGGCAGGGGTGCTGGGCAGCGGTACTGGGCAGTGGTACTGGGAAGGGGTGCTGGGCAGGGGTGCTGGGCAGGGATACTGGGCAGCGGTACTGGGCAGGGGTACTGGGCAGGGGTACTGGGCAGTGGTACTGGACAGCGGTACTGGGCAGGGATACTGGGCAGCGGTACTGGGAAGGGGTACTGGGTAGGGGTACTGGGCAGGGATACTGGGCAGTGGTACTGGGTACCATACTGGGTGGCAGTACAGGTCTGTTGTAGTGAGTGGCGGTACTGGGCAGTGGTTCTGGGTAGGCGACCAACTGGTGCTTGAGGGTGAAGCCTGTTTCATCTCTAGCCCCTGGGCAAGGAAGTGGAGCTGGTGGGGAGGCCCACCTCATGGCCTCTCTGGGGCCCTGCTCATACCTTCCGATTTCCATCTGAGGAGGAACTATGAGCCCCCCCCCAGCAGCATTCCTCCATGCCCCGCCCACCTGTCACCACACCACATGGCCCTCAGACACCTGCAGCACTCCATTCCTGGCCTGTCACGCTCCACTCCACGTGCTCCTGCTGTCCCTGGGGTGAAGCTATGGTGGGCCTCTCCTCTCTGATCCTGAACCTCTCTCTACTAGATGGAGGACCCTCGCCTCTTGTGACTGGTCACAGGTCCCCTGCTACCTGCACCTTGGTGAGCTGGGGGGATGCTCGGCTAAAGATCAGGGCAGACTCATTTCTGAGCAGGCTTGGAATCCATTACAGGAAGAAATCTAGACCCTGTGAAAGGCAGAGACTTCAGAGAAAAGCAAAAACCTCACGATGCCATCTCTTCAGACAATGAACCCATTGCTGCAAGGGTACGACTGACTCATAGCTGCCCCTCGGGCGGGTTTTGGGGAGGTGGGAGATCCCACCAGAGCAGAGAGCCTGTCCTTCACCCGTGGTCCACCGGTAGATTCAGTGTCCGAGAAGAGCCCCTTTGGGTCAGCAGGCACTCCTGCGGGGAGTCCCCTGTTCATGGTAGACCTGGCACCATCGAGTGGGAACCGGCTCACAGCTGACCCTTCAGCGGGTTCTCAGAGGCTGTAAATCACAGGGTAGGAGGTTGGCCATTCTCCTTCAGAGCAGCTGGTGGATTCAGACCTCCTGCCTTTGGGATTTCAGTGCAGCTTCTTACCTTGTGTTGTTAATGTTGTTAGGATGTATTTGATCCCATTGTTACAATCACTATGCCAGTTCATCTCGAGGGTTTTCCTCTTAGGCTTCCCCTCAGCCTTTCCAAGCATGTCTTTTTCCAGGGATTAGCCTCTTAACAATATGAAGTCGGTGAGATGAGATTTCCTCATTTTTGTCTCTATGGATAGATACTACCTTCTCCAACACCACAGCTCAAAGACATTGATTCTTCTGTCAGTTCCAACTCACAATGACCCCGTGTGGAACAGGATGATGCCCTGTCTGATCCCCTTTTTCTCTGACTCTCTACTTTCCCAGCTCTGACGTCCTTCTCCAGGGACCGGCTCTTCCTAATAACGGGCCAGACTATGAGACGAAGCCTCGCGGTCCTTGCTTCTCAGGAAAATGTTCTGACTGTACTTCCCCTGAGACAAGCTGCTTTCTTCTCTGGCGTTCCATGTGGCGGTTGTTGTTGTTGTTGTTGTGTACCCTCGAGTCACAGCTGACATTCCCAGCAGGTTTTCAGAGGCAGGAAGTCACACGGCGGGTGGGGGGAGATTGCCCTCCTTCTGTGGAACAGCTGGTGGATTTCCCATTCTTTAGAATACTTCATTATCATTCATTATGATCCACACTGTTCAAAGTCTTTGCCGGGTCAATAAAACGCAGGTAAACATCCTTCTGGAATTCTCTGCCTTTGGTCAAGTTCCCGCTGATGTCAGCACAGTAGTGGCCAGGCCTTGCCGGAGGAGCCGTGGAACGGGAAGGCTGAACACAGGGTCCGTTTTGGAGGAACTGGCCACCACGTGACCCTGGGGTTCCACAGGCTGCAGGGGGCGGGAACCACTTGAAGGGATACATTCTGGGGCTACATAGAGGTCTACTCTGGGGGACCCAGGGTTGTCCTCACCCTAGGATTTCCACAAGCTCAGTATCAGCATTTGGGACCAAAGAGCAATTGCAAAAGCAAAGCTGGAAAGCCCAGAAGGTAATTAGTGGATGGAGCTGGGAAGAGGGAAGGTGCAGGAAAGGGCGTCAGGATGATGGTTTCCAGTGGTTCTCGACAGGTGGAGGGTGGGTGTTCTCCAGGACAGAGGCCACAGGCTGGAACATGGGGCGGCTACTTAGTGGCTTAAAGGGGGAGATGCACCCCATGATTGCCAAGGCCCATGGGTTAGGCCGACTCCACCCTGAGGTACCGCTGTTTGGGAGGAGTGGACATGTAAGGCCACCCTTGTGCCAGACAGTCTCCCAGGTGAGCCGGTCCCGCGGCTGGGCGGGGGTGAGGTTCAGGGTCCATGCAAGGGCAAAGGCTGAGGTGGTACAGGGTCCAAGGTGCAGCCCCGGCACTGGGGATGGAGGGAGTCCAGGCACAGTGTGGGCACCGCCCTGGAAGACGGACTTAGGACATTCTGTGGCACTTTTACCCTTGGGATCCTCTCTCTCCTCAGTCAGACCAAGGATGTAGATGCCTTCCCTGACGGCTTTCTACTAAGAAAACAGGCAATAACAGAGCTGCTGCTATGGCATTGATTCCAGCTCACAGAGACCCTGCAGGACAAACTGCTCACCTGCTTACTAGAAGGTTGGTAGTTCAAGACTATGCGGTACCTAGTGGTACAAGGGAAAAGGCTGGGCCAGCTGTTGTTGTTGTTGTGTGCTGTCGACTCATAGCGGCCCTAAGTATAGCAACTCTGAACCCTGCTGTCTTGAGCCAACTTCGTTGTTTCCAACAGACCTACACCCATTACCCCAGTCACTGTTTGAGTTCATCTCATCCAGGATCTTCCTCTCCTGCTCTGTTCCTCCACCCTTCCATGCATGATGTCCCTCTCCAAGGACTGATCACTCCTGGCCACATGCCCAAAGTTTGCCAGACAGAGCTT